CATTTATTTATTGTGTGTGTGTGTGGCCAGCTCAGCCCACCAGGGGGCGGGTCTGGCAGGCACGTGGTGCTGGGGATCGAACCGCGGTCCCTGTGCTTTGCCAAGCTTGTTTCAAGTAGGTGCTTTAGACCACTGAGCCATCTCTCCAGCCCCTAAATTCCACTTCTTGAATCTAAACTTTCACTTCCTCACTCCTTCACTTATTCTTTAGTTCCTAAAGGACAACTCACCATCTTCCCCATATGACTGCTATACCCAGACTCTACCTTTTTGGAAGGCAGAAATGTACCTTGTTTATCCTAGTATTCCCACCATTTCAGAGCACCTTCCCAAAACAAATGCTCAAATAGTGTTCAATACATAAAAGAATCAGTGAGGCTTTATGATTCATTTTGTTTTACTCTAACAAACCAAACAAATCTTTTAATTTTACATAAAAAATTAAAATGGGTAAGTCAGTGCAAATATTAAGTGCGTTTTATATTTTTTATTTTGCTTTTGAAATCTTAACATTTTAAAGAAAATTCCTATTACAATACTATATTGCCTTGTTTCGGTTCACAACATAATAAAGAAGTTCGGGCAGGTGAGATAGCTCAGGGTTCTAAAGCACCTGAGTAAGCAAGCTAAGGCAGGCACAGGGACCACAGTTCGACCCTGGCACCACATGCCCAGCCCTCAGGATGGGCTGAGCAAGCAAAAAAAAAAAAAAAAACCCAGAAGTTTAAGTTGCATTATTTTTACAAAACAGCAAACTTTTGTTCTTAGAAAAGAAAAATGAGGGCCGGGGATACAACTCAGTGTCATAAGGGTCAGCTTGGCAAGTGCAAGGTCCCAAATTCAATCCCCAGTACTGCAAAAAAAAAAAAAAAAGTGCATAGCTCACATTCAAAAAGTAAGGTAGCAAACCTAACTTGCCACTGAAATGAAAGTCACTTGAAAAATATTTTCAACAAAAAGTTAAAGTTTTCAGTCTCTCTTACAGAACAGGAACCCAAATAACAGAACTACCATAGTCCATCAATAGTTAGAAGCGTGGCCACTGTCTTCAAATACACACGGGAACTTTGGCCTCAGACCTCCAGAAATGCTGCTCTGCGTGATGTCAGAGCTCGTACTGCTCATGGCTGTAGCAAAATTTGCTTCATCACTTACAGACTAGGCTCTCTCACATTTTTCAACCCATCCTTATACCAGGCTGGAAATGAACTGAGCATGATACCCTTTAGCTTGGCCAAAAGTGCCCAGATTTTTCCCTCACTGACCTCAGCGTGGGCTCTCGGGCCCCAGTGGAATGTGTAACATTTCGGATCACTATTGGGAACATACTTGTACATAAGGTAACTTTTTTGTACCCAATCACTGATGAGCATTCTGGCATCACCATACATGACATGTTCCCTTTCGGCATATACCGCCAATGCATTCAGCACTTCCCAGAACTTCTCTTCAGGCATGCAGTCACCATCCATGAGAATCATCCCCAGGACAAATAAGAGTAGGCTGGTCTTGGAGGGGCTCTGGTATTCCTTCAGCATTCCATGGTAGGTGAGATCTACAGTACTATAAGATATATAGATAAGGTCTTTGGGACCCAGTTCTTTCACCACAATGCCAAAGACAAGCTCTGTGAATGCACGAGCCTTCCCAACGATCACAGGAAAGTGGTCTGTGTATTCCTTGATGACATCATTCAGCATTTCTGCTTTTGTAATTAGCTCCTTTGTTTGGTATTTGAGGAGGAAAAACTGCACTAACTCAGCCACCTTCTTATCCAGCACCTCTTGGACGAAGGATCCAGTGTCCTTATCTTGTGTGCTGTTGGACGCTTCATCTAACATGCTGCATGAAGCAGGGGAAGGGTGGCTGCCTGCAGCAATCTGAGGAGGACTCTGGAGAGCACATATCACATCAGCAGCAAGCAGCTCCTCCTCCTGCACTTCTTTCTCATTTGGCTCCCCTGCCACCTCCTCCATCTCTTCGTCTTCTTCAAACACTGAATTCAGAGAGAAGTATGAAAGGGAGGACCTGGGGGAAGAAGAGCTGGAGGGGAAGGAAAAGTGAAAAGATGAAACAGACATGCTATCTTCTTCCTCCTCATCTGAGGGAATCTGCTCGGGTCCCAGGCCAGCTGTGTCCTCATCATCTTGCTTATCAGTGAGCTGTGAACGCTCTAGAGACCCAGGCATGATCACACCTGTTAGAGGCAACAGGCAAGAGAGCACGCAGGAATCCAAGTGATGGATCCCACGGACCTGGTAAGAAAGACAGTAAAATGTTTCAGTTAAAATCTCAACCAGAATGTTGGTGACAAAAATGGTTTAACAGGTCAGTTCCACGTGGTGACACAGAGCCTCCCAGGAGTCGTGGCTTGCCGATCAGCCCGTCTCCTATGGAACTATAGGAAGATCTTCAGGTTGCACCTGCCAGAGTGTAAGGCTCCAGAGCACAGCTGGATGGGGTGGAGAAGCAGGGCCCTTGGTGCACATTCGAAGTGTGCAGCCCACCCTCTGCCTCCTCCCTGACCCTCCTCGGCTGTGCTGACCTTGGCCGCTTCCCAGAATCCTTGTAGGAGGAATTGAGGGGCCCCACAGGCTGTAGATTCTAAGCACAGCCCTGGAATTCCCAGGGGTGAACAGGCAGAGTGGGGTCAGATTCCTTGAACTCTCCACAGTTCTGGAGAGGACTGTCCCCTCAATGTGCACTCAAGGTTTTCACTTTTTCTTTTATAAATCCCTTTTATTGTACACATCTGCTGTACATCACCAATACATTCCACTGTGGGGAGACAAATTTTATTTCTTTTTACGTCCTCCTACTCTGCCTTCTTTCCCCTCCCTTCATCTCTTACTGTACTTTGTTTTCTAAGGATCTATCATGTTATTTCTTTTGTCGATCTTTCATTTTGCTTTAATATATTTGTGCTTCTTCTCACCTAAGAGAAGGTCTGTAATTTTTGAGCATGTTTATAGAATTTATTTCACTTAACATTCTGAGCTCGAACTGTATCCATCTCCTCTCCAACCCCCAAGCCTGGCTAAATCACAGATCTCAGAATTTAAGGTCCTTTAGATCAAGAAGACTAAGGTTTCGACAATCTGGCCACTTCATCACAGGCAGAACACTGGCAGAAGGGGTCTCTCAGTCTTAACAGTGATGACTAGCCAGGACGAGACATCAAATATAGCTCTCTTTACTGATTTGCTCGGAGCCCCTCTCACTTCAAGGCTCTCACTTCCCTACAAGCCTGAAGTGCAAGTGAGAGGGTAGCAACTCTGCCTGAAGGGACTGCATGAGTTCTCAAGAGGGTGATATGGAGATTATGATGGGAATCTGTGGGACTCCCTCTGTGTCCTGGGGTGAAGATCACCCTCAGTCCTCAAAAAACAACTACACACTCCTGAAGGGGTCTACATTTCAACTACTCTGTGAACTGAGGATTCTTCCCTAAGACAGAACCTCTCATTTTCCTGAGATGCTACAGGATTCATGGTGAAGGCAGGGCCAACCTGGACCCTCTCCATCCTAGTGTGGAAGATTGCTTCATCCCCTGTCAAGGTCCTCGCTTTCCTGACAGAGTAGGTCTAGGACTCATCCCTATACTGATCCAAGTTCACCATTTTAACAAATAGCTTCACTTTCCTCAAATTCCACTAACAGGAATCAGGAAAGGCCCCAGGCATGCTGTTTGCCTCGAGCTTTCTAGCTTCAACTGCTGGAAGGAGGGGAGGCTGCTGCTCCTTATGGTGCAGGAATACTGGCAAGACTTAGGACCCCTCTGTCTGGTGATTTGAAACCACATCCTTTGCTCTCTTAAGATTGAAAGGATAGTAGGAAAATATCACATTCAGGAAATCTACCTCAGTTTTTCCCACACATAGCAATATGCCTGGGCCTCATGAAAAGGTGGGAGATGAATCCAATCCAGCTCTTTAGATCCCCTCCTTGATGGTTGGTCAGTGCTAAGATGCTCCTGCCCACGCTTCACAGAAAGCCTTACCTCCTTCACACTCCAGTCAAGAAACTAGAGAGAATGCACAGAATACAACCCTTCCTGGAGCTCGTGGGTACCACTTCAGAAGCAAACACTGGCAAAACCTGTTGGTGGTGAGATGAGCTATGTGTTATTTGCAATCTGACTGGTCAGTCCTAGGACTTCTCCCTTAGCTGATGTAACTTCACACCCCTCAGATCCCTGGCTAGAAGTCAGAAAAGTACACATCTGAGAGCCTTGCCTTATACTTTCACAGGACTAACAGGATGTTGAAGGACCAGGATGCTACAAAACTATGGTAGGAGCTAGACGTGGTGGCACAAGCCTATAGTCCCAGCACTTGGGAGGCTGAGGCAAAGGGATTCTTGCCAGTCCGAGACCAGCCTGGGTTACAAAGTGAGCATGAGGCCACCCTTAACTGCCTAGTGAGATCCTGTCTCAAAAAGACAAAAAACAAAAAAAAACACCAACTATTGTGGGAGGTGAAATAAATCGTCCCTCAAGGTCCCTCGCCCTTTTCTTTAGACAGGGTCTCACCACGTAGTTCAGACCATTTGGGGGCTTACCATGTGGTCAATGCTTGCCTCAAACTCGTGGTAATTCTTGTGCCTCAGCCTCCGCTGTGCTCGGATTAAACATGCACCACCATGCCCACGCTCATGCCCAGCTAGGTCCTCCCGCTACTAAGATTCTCCCCTCTTCTGACCCAAGTCCATACCGCTCACAGAAAGCCTTACCTCTTACAATTTCCTCAAAGGAGTAGAAAAACTTCACAAGCCAAAACCCGTCTGGGAGCTCCTGTGCACAACCGGAAAGCCCAACCATGCCGGATCCCGCTATTGGAGGTGGGATTG